ATTATCTGCATCTGATTGATATATCACGTGATATTCGTCGTAAAACTTACCTGCACCAAATTAGGCATATCTACCTTATAGAATGATTGTGAGCACTTACAGCAAAATAGAAACTACCCTTTGAGAAGCTTAGAAAAGCTTATTCTATCTCTTCAGAGAATGATTCCGAAGGTCATGCTAAACCAACTTGTAAAGTGCCCGATAAGTCAATTCCAAAAAAATTATCTGAGGTCATGGGGGTCCCTCTAGGACCATCACCCACCCCTCTATTCTCAACTTTGTCAAGGATGAATGTGCAAGAAAAGCAAAAAAAAAAAAGAAACTGTTAAAGTCCAGATCCATTTGAAATTCTGACTTACCTGAAATTTTGGCAGTGGGTCCCTGCCAAAACTCCTTACTAGATATCTCATACAATCTAATTGCTTCGATTAAAAAAGATCATATAGAATTAGAAGAATCTATACGTGAATCAGAAAAGCTCTTTGCTCTCAACACACTTCGCTAAGCTAGAATATCTAGTTAATAGAGAAATAGAGATCAGAGGTTTTTATTAATCTCAATTAATTTAGCTTTGGAAATAAGAGTATCATACAATATTTTTTCAAGCTCCTCATAGCTCATGCATTTTTTTTAATACATCATCATACCTACTCAACTCCTGTGAGTCCTGTGATATGTTATTCTGAGTCGAGATATCATCACAATCTGGAGTTATGTTTGCGCAATTTACCTCAAGCTTGTTCTTGACCTTATGCATAGTGACTGGGATAATATAATCTTTTCCATTAAGAGGAATTTTTAGCTTATTAGTTTTCCAATCCAATGCGCAATTATATTTTTTCAAAAGCTAATTAGAAAATATTAATGTCAGCTTCTGATATTTCACAACAATAAAATCTTCATGGATAGTACAGCCTGGGGCTAGAGTAATAAGTAATTTGCGAACAACCCTAACAGATTCAACAGGAACAGTGGCAATACCACTAAGATTATATATTTCAGATTTATCAATTTTAGCTCCTACACGTTCAACGATATTTTCTGTTATAATGGGAGGTTCAGCTCCAGAGTCAACTATCATGGCAGGAATCTTTAAACATTTGATTTTACACTTTATAGTAGCAACACTTGTTTTTTGGCTCTTTCTTCTTAACGAAATTAATCTCCATCAGACCATCCAAATCTTCTTCCTCATCTGGATCTAGTGATACAACCTTGGTATATTGCTTTGAGATTCTATCTTTTCCTGGATTAGAGGCGCTTAATTCAATATATTAGCTTTAATAGAGTCTTGGGAGAAATGATCAGGAAAAATTAATTTAAGTTTACTTTGGAGGACTTTACGAATAGTTTCCTCCAATGAAGTTTTAGATATCTTTTTAAGGGACGATTTCTTGGAACTAGAGTCTTGCTTTAATTTTTTTTAACTTAGCTATGTTAATAGTGATATTATTTCCAGAATCGGAGGAATCTTCTAAACTTGTATCAGAGTCAGAACTATCACTAGAAGTATCAGAAGAAGTACCTGAATCCGAATTTGAATCTACGGTAGTGATATTAACCTTACCCTTTTTAGACTTTTTACTTCTCTTTTTCTTCTTTTGATGGCAGTTTCGGAAATTATATCCAGATCTTCTACAGGTGGAGCATTTGTGACCTGATGATTTCTTAACAGCACATCTAACAGCAGTTTTTATGACACTATTTAATGTTAATCCTGTTAAACTATCTGAAATATCTTCTATAGAATCATGATCATATTCATCAGCAGGGTGTTTAACTAGATTTTTTCTTAGTAAGTCACTTAAAAAGCGATTAATAGCAGTATCTTCTGCTCTCTTCTTAGATGATTTTTTACTATTATCTAGAGTTTTAGTCACTCGAGACATAGTCTTTTGCAAGGATTTAATAGTAGACTGCAAATCAGCATTTTGTTGAGCCGTTTGAGACTCTGAAGATGCCATTGTGGTTTTTATCAAATCTACGATTTCAGTTTTAGTCATTTCCGATTTGTTAGTGTCTATGTAGGGGTTGGCTACCAGAAAAGCAGGAAGAGAAGATGGTGCATTTCTTTGAGAAAGTGTAAAATTTTCTGCTTCAGCTAAGGCTCTTGTGATATTTTTCTAAGTATCCTCAAATTTAGCTATCATCGAATATTATATTGGTTCATAGGATTTAAGCCATGAATAAATTGCTTTTTTTGTTGTTCAGGTGTCATTCCGGCCAATTTACCAACCTTTTTGATTCAAGTGGAGAACTCTTCAACACCCATATCTCTTTGCATGAGTTGACCAAAAACTGCCATTTGTTTTAAGCGTTCAACCGTCGTATAGGAAGTACTAAATAGATAAAAGAGTTGCCCAAGCTTAATACCAGGAGCAATTGTAATAGCAGGAAAACCTTCACCAGCATTTGGTGCGACTAGTGCATTATCTGTAGGTTCACTACCAGCTATAGACCAGTCTTCATCCCATGTTCTATTCGGAATAATATCAGCACTAGTTGTGATACCTGCTCCAATTCTACCAATTTCTGCTCCAGCTTTGTTATGAAATTCTCCTGCAGTATTCAAACCACCAATCTGATTACCACCATTTCTAGCACCAATTGCTCGAACAGCAGTTAAAGTAGCTATACTTAAGTTATCTGAGAGATTATTACATCTCCAATTTTTACCCTTAATACGGGTATTATACCAATTCAATGCAGGGCCTGCAAGACATGATATTACTAATCCAAATGCCTCTTCTCTTCTAGCAACCTAACCTGTACCAGGTGCAATATTTATTCAACTAGCTACTATATATCTTTGCATCTCTTTGAGCCAATTCTCTGGATCTTCTCCAGGATGACCATGAAATATTAGAGGTCCGTATTCTACTATTTCTATTCGTTGTATATTAGGTGGGTTATTCTGTAGTGCAAAAATTTGTTAATTTAAAATTAAAATATTCTGGCGAGAATTAATTTTACGAGCCTTCCATTTTTGATACCAATTAAATATCCAGGTTTGATTGAATTCTGCCAAGTTAACCTCAGCTTTGCATCTTCGATATATTAGCTGAAGGGCTAGCTTTTCTTTCAGCAATTCACCGATACGGGTTTGCTTTCTTGCTATATTATTTATCATTCTGTTTACTTGATTCTGAGTATTGGTCCGTAACTAATCACGCTCCTACACCGCTTGATCGCGCTCCTGCCTATATATATCACAGTTTCATCGTTTATTTACCAGTTCTTGTTGTAGGTTAGTGTATTTATGTCAGATTGATCTTGTTGATCTTTTAATTTGATTTGTTAAAACAGTTCTACATATTGTTGTATCATTTAGGGATCGGTCTATTGCATCAGCCAACTTGGCTATTGTGGCCATATTATTATCAGAATTATACAAGTCTAGAGAATTTTCATCAGAATCAGATTTATTTTCACCAAAATTCTATGCCTGTGCATTTTGTAAAGCCTCTTGTGTATTTTTAAGTTCTAATCTATCTTGATATCTTAATAATGCTAATGCAAAATTTTGACAAAGCAGGTCTGTAATACAGTTTTTTTGTTGGGTTATTTTGTTAATCCTATTTATTTGATTGGTTCTTATTGTATTTATTTCTCATTTAAGCCGTTCATTCTTATCCACTAATCTGGTTGTATAATCTTGCGTTTTGGGGTATTACCCGCAGATTTTGATATTTCTCGTATTCGGGTTTTTAATTTTGTTTCACGCTCATCAAATTCCGATATCAATTTATCTTTATTAGAAATTTCTTTGTCTTTCTTTTTATTTTCTTCCTCGAGCTGTCAGACAATTCTTTTTAATTTTAAAATTTCTTCTGTCAATTCCTCTTTGTCTTGTATAGATAACTCAATAGCATTGTTTAACTCTTCTTCAAGAAATCGTATTCTCTCTTCCCGTATACCAATAATTCTTTCTAATATATATAAACATTTTTCGAAATTCCTATTTGATTCCGCTAATTGCGATACTATCTCGTGGAGTTTTTAATTAGTTTGTTGTAATTCTTCTATATTTTTTATTTACTATAATTAAATAAAATAATGGGGAAACTGGTTATTTATATCGATCCAGATGAGGCCCAAAGAATCGAAAAAAAAATCTCATATTGTGTGATATATATTATCGTTTACCTGGATATTATTCCAACCCTAAATTCTTAAGAGATGCTTGTAAAAAAGAGGGCATCAATTTCGTCTAAATGAATGCAAAGATTTTTTAGAAAATTAGGAATCATACCAAACCAATAAAACTTCTCCAAAATATATTCCTAGAATTAGCTATGGATGAATAACATGCCCTAATTGTGTTCACCAATGTGATATACTATTTCTTACTTATAACTACTATAAAGATAAAAATATAAAGCAGTACTTAATATTATAGATTGCACTTTCAGATACAAGGCTTCAGTCCCTCTTAGATCAAAGAAAAGTTCTGAAGTTGCTAAAGCATTTAGGAAAATATATGGTGATCGAAATAATCCTCTTACCTATCCTAAGCTACTTCAAACAGATAATGGAAGAGAATAGATAGGCGAGACTTCCCGATTGATGCAAGAGCATAATGTCATAATCCAAGTGGTCAGTCCATATTCCCATCGAGGCCTTGCATTAGTAGAGCATTTTAATCAAACACTCTCAAAAATTCTGTATAAGACCCAGTATGCTATTGAATCAATAACTTCTGATCCTAAATTAATAAGAGCATGGGTTAGATTTTTACCAGAAGTTATAGATTATCTAAATAACTATCCCACACATCTTATTCGAGAACCAGGATCAGAAAAGTGGGGCTCGAGCTAGTGAAAGCTATTATATTAGAACGAGTCGAATCTAGATCATCCACAAAATATAAGCATCCAGTTGGAAAAGATGAAATAACATTAAAGAAAAGTAATACTGTCTGCTACTTACTTGCCAATGCAGAATGGGAGGGGGTATGGAAGCAGTTTGCAGAAGCACAGACCCTATATGGTCACCAAGTCTTCATAAAATCTGAAAAATTATTATAATAAAGAATAAACCAGTTTTATATTATCTCAGGAGTGATAACGATGAATTTGCTCCAACACGTGGGTTTGTATAAGAAGAACTCATATTAATAGATGATTCAGAAAAAGTTGGGCGCCTACCCCAAAGCATATTATCTGTAAATTTTGTCTGTACTTCTAATAATAAGATAACTCAAGCTAAGGATTATGCTAAAAAGCGTAGTGGAATTTGTCTTGGAAAAACTGGCCAGATACATAGACACGGTATCTATCTCTGGTCTTGCGAGAATGGTGTATATTAGTGGGAATATCCACTAAAATATATCATGAAAAAATTTGAGTAGTATCCCTTATACCACTATACTAGCGAACGTCAATGCTGATATATTTTTGAGGATCTTTTAGGTAAGAAATTCCTACCATGTAGGCCTAAATTTTTGGATGGGATGCATCTCGATGGGTATAACGAGGAATTACGTCTAGTGTTCGAATTCCAGGGCCCCCAACACTATCGTCTTAATCCAATATTTCATAAAAGAGGGAGAATAGATTTGGATAAACAAAAATCCCGAGATCAAAAAAAGCAAGATCTATGTAAAAAAGAAGGTATATGTCTTATCTCAGTGCCTTATACTGCTAATCTCTTTCTCTATATTAGGCATGCGCTAATCGAGAAAGGGTTCTTGACTAATTCCCCAGTCAGTAAAATAAATATGAAACTTTAAATATATATATTTTATCAAAATCTTTATTTTTTCGATATAGTAATTTTATTCAAGATAAGAAAAATAAAGTATTATATATACCATCTTAACAAGACCAAAAATTCAAAGAATATGAATCACCCTGCCAGTCCTGCATTTCCTTTTGTTTGTTAATTTGTAGCGGATCAGATAGTGAAAAAACTAATATGATTCTTAATCTTCTTCTTGGAAATAAAATTCAACATTTGTTTAAGGAAAAGAAAGGGAAACGGTATGTTAAAAATGATGATCTAGTCTTAATTAGAAAGCATATCCATAAGCCCAAATGGGTATTAGTGAAAAACTGCTATGAAATTTTTTCGAAGGGCCAAAAACATATAGGGAAAATGTGACATTTCGTGCATTAAAAGCAGATACAATTCCAGACGTAACTAAATTTTCCCCAGATAGGAATACAGTTGTAGTCTTTGAAGATCTTTGTGCTGAATTAAAGAAAATTCAGGATCAGATTGTTCCATATTTTATTAGTGGCCGGCATCAAGGTGTATCAAGCATATATGTGAGCCAGAATTATACACAAACCCCTAAAATTATTCGTAAAAATATTTCACACTTAGCTTTATTCGGGGGCTCAAGATCTAGAGACGACATTAGCAGAGTCATACATCAATATACGGATAATTCAAAAAAAGCATCCAAAATTATCAATAAACATTTACGAGAGTGAGAATTTGTGGTCTTTGATTTTACCAAACCAGCAGACAATCCTTTAGCAATTAGACTAGGATGGGACACACCATTAGCGTTAGATAAATAAAGCTTAGTTATTAATATATGTTATCGCACTTCTACAAAAAAAAAATAAATTATTATCCCTTAGATTGTAACACAGGCAAATTTGCCTGCATATTTTAAAATTTTTAATAAAATTTTAAATATTGAT